AAACATAAAATTATAACAACCGTATCTCTCAAACCGTGAAAACTAGTTACCGATCAAGTTTTGTTTTCATAAAGACTTACCTATTCATTAAGCATAATACAAGAACGATCAAATGGCGTAAGGAAGCCCACATAGAAAACTCAATATATTCAATGTATTTCAATCGAAATGGTTGAATTTGCTATAAAACAATGTTGTCAAAAGCATTGAGTTCGGTCAAGATAGTAAAACTGTCGACACAATTAGCAAGGTGTTGCTCGTGCAAAGCTAAGCGCTAAAAAGATGAAGCTATTTCCCTTCATAAACTTGTTTCAATCAAAATGAAGACTTTGTGAGACTAGAAATTGATATAAAATGATAATCATCATATTAATCTGTTCTAAAAATAATAATAACCATTTTTTGCTTCTTTGCATTCCTAGTTACAGAAACTAGCTAAATAGATTATAATAAAAATTACTCAAAATGCACATTTAAATAATCAAAATAATTAAACAATTTTTTTTTTTTTTCTAATTAATCTATTTAAGTTTGCAACATGCCCAACCTAAGGATAATCAAATCCAAATTATTGTATAGTCCATCTTTGTTACCAATCCATGCAATGTCCTCCACCATTGAATTTGTAGCCAACCATCTCCTTGTTCTCGTCAACCCCATCCTCTCTTCCCTCAAGATTTACTAATCTCGAACCAGATGTTCTTACATTTACATTTGACCTAAGTTATATCCTTATTTCTCCAGCTATATCCAAATCAACTCCGAAGAAATTAACACAAAAAAAGCAAACCATCATCCATGTTCGAGGAATAAATAAATATTTATACAATCAATTGAAAAGCGTGCGCTTCACAGCCTGGTTATTAAGGTATGGTGCCCTTGCCCAAGTAAAACTACAGTATAGATGTTGGCATGGCAAGATGAGAAGCGCTATAACAGCGCTTAGGTGCCTAGAGGAGCACCTGGTTCGTCTTTAATAATATAGGATATAAATATTACAGAGAATCAATGCTAAATTTATACTTTTGTGGTGAAAGAAATCCATCAATAAATTTTTTATGTATTCAATGAATGATCAAATAATCTAAAGAATGCATTAAATCAAACATAATATTAGGTTTAATACTTTAAGTACGATGGATGTACTTTTTTTAAACGATGGATGTACTTGACCTTATAATAAAGATAATATTAATAAATTTAATTAGGATAAAAATCAGAGGATTTATAGAATAAATGGAGAACAACAACAACATCAAGCCTTTAACCCATTATGTGGGGTCAGCTACATGAATTTTTTTTTTCTCTGTTGTGTTCCGTTAAGAGTTAAATTCTCATTTTAATCTAAAAAAGAAATGTCATTTCTAATATTTTCTAGCCAAATCTTTTTAGCTCTACCTCTACCTTTATTAACATAAGTCAAATATAATACATCTACTTTCCTAACCGGGTCATCGATAGGCAACCATTTTATCTAACCAAACCATCTAAGTCGACTCTATCTAATCTTATCTTCCACTCGAGCTACTCCAACCTTTTCATATATATGATCATTGTGTATCATGTCTCTAAGAGTAAAGCCACTCATCCACCTAAGCATCCTCATCTCTGCAACACTTAACTTAATATTATGCTTCTCTTTTAATGACCAAACTTTTGCACCATAAAGCATTGCAGGTCTAACCACCATCTTATATAATTTCTCTTAAGTTTGAAGGGACTTTTCTATCGCACAACAAGTGCATTCCTCCACTTCAACCATCCAACTATAATTCTACTAATAATATCCCCATCTATTTCACCATCACTCTGAACAATAGACCCAAAATATAAAAAATGTATACTCTAATTAATGAATTGATCACCAAAAGTCACAACCCCCACTAGATCTTTATTACTAAAATTACACTCCATATATTCAATTTTAGATCTACTCAAACGAAAGACTTTAGACTCTAAGGTTGACCTCCATAATTCAAGTTTGCCTTCAACTCCCTCTCTAGTCTTATCAACAAGAAGAATATCATCAGCAAAAAGCATACACCAAGGCACAACCTCTTGCAAATGTCTCGTGAGAACATCCATAACTAAAGCAAAAAAGATATGGGCTTAAGGCTAGTCCTTGATGTAATCCAACTGATATAGGAAAATACTTGCTCAAATCACCTTGTGTTTGAACACAAGTCACAACTCCTGCATACATATCCTTAATGACTTGAATATAAGCAATATTAATCCCTTCTTTTCTAAAACTCTCCATAGCATCTAAATAAATAATATCATATGTAGATCCTCCTTATTCTCTCAAAACTTCTCCATCAAACCTCTCAATAAATGTATAGCTTCCATAGTAGACTTACCCGGCATGAATCCAAATTGATTTTGAGAGACATTAGTATCACACCACAACCTATGCTCGATAACTCTCTCCCATAGTTTTAAAGTATGATACATTAACTTAATTCGTCTATAATTCGCACAATCTTTTGCATCACCTTTATTCTTAAAAATAGGAATCAACACACTCATTCTCCACTCATCTGACATCTTAGTCTTCAAAATAATATTAAAAAGTTTAAGAAGCCAAGAAATTTCTTCATCTCCTAAGCATTTACACGACTCTATTGGAATATCATCAGGTCCAATAGCTTTTCCACACTTCATTTTCTTTAAAAGCCTCCCAAACTTCAATTTTATTAATACACTAATAAAAATAAAAAACTTTATTTTCATTTAGGGTGCTAAGGTCACTAAAGTTTGAGGATGCTGCGCGGGTTAAAAAATGAACTTAAGTTCGAGCCCGATCCTTCTATATGAATAGATAGAAGTTGACACGACTCAAACCATCAAACAAATATACAGTTGTGATATCGATCGAGATATTTATTTTATACATTCAAATTCAGCTTTTAATGTTTATAATAAAGAAAATTCATATAAAAAACATAAAGCCAACAACGAACATGATCCTCTATCGTCAAATTGATAGAGTCGATAAGGTTCGACCAACAAAATGAATTGCCTATAAATACCCCGATGATGATCATGTTGACAGAAAATCTCAACGGGAGGAGACAACAAACATTTAAAAATGTCTCCCAAAATTTCTAAATGCCCATAAAAATTTAAAATTCCAAAAATATCATAATGTCAAAATATTTAAAATTGAAATAAATCATTAAATATTTAAAGTAAAATCCATCCACCCTCCACAACAGCTTGCCGAGGTGGACAAATTTGAAAATTATTTCAACTCACAAAGAGTAAATGTCTGGTCGAGAATATCACTAAGATTCATTCTCAAATCGTCTTTTACTAGTAAGAACATAACACGTGTCTTTTAACCGGTGGTTTCACCTCCAAATAGCACCACACCGATGATTGCGCCGTTAAATGGCACCACAAGTAAACGGTTATGACAAGGACCCTCTGAATCGAGTGGAGTTTTGACGCCAAATGACACCACTAAATTACGGTCATGGTCAGAGCCCGTATGCTCCCCAATGGCTTCAAATCCTTAAGATATGAATCAATAAGATATAATCGATAGAGCACAAAACCCTCTGTTAGCTAAGGTGGATTCAAATTTATCCCCTTAGACAAATATTCATCTCATGTCTATAAGGTATCCTTAGATGAAACAAACTATGGATGCCGACAAGGATCATCGGTCAAGTTGGGTCGACTACGTCCTCTGACTAAGAAGACCAGGGACCACAATGACCCGGGACGACGAGACCATGGTAGCTTGATCGAGTGTATCATCACTCCCACCACCGTTCGCTTTAAGCGCAAGATGGTACATTTTTTATTTTAAATATTAAATTTTCAAATACCTAAATCATGCTGCTATTATACGCTAATTGACGACTAGCCTTAATTTAAAGTTATTTCTCGTTATTGGGAGGGGTAATTAACTATAGGGACTTGCACCTATAGGAAACCTGAATCAAGACCATAAAGTCCTCACAAAATGAGGGCGAAATTTCTAAGTAGTGTCTTATTCACAATCCAATATGACTTCTAAAAATTTGTCTCGGAACTTACTCGTTAAAACTTAAAACTCTCCTTGACGACCCAAAAAAAAAAAAGGACCTCAAAGAGGCTGTGGTGCAAATTTTTGGAGCCCACATCTATAAACCCTTTTTTTTCTTTCCTAAACCTAATTTATTTGTGTTTATTTAGGGTTTTTTGTTTATTTGAAGTTTTGCATATTTCAATTTATTTATTATCATGGAAGATGACATGAGTGTATAGCCCATCGGATGTCTATTAACAAAAAAATAAATAGAAAATATATCTGTAAAATTTAAGGTAATTGAAGTCATAAACATCAACATAGTCGTTACTTTAAATTTTAATTAATATTCTTATTAATTATTATTGATTGGTGAAGAAGAAGATGATTGAGATAGAACATTAGAAGAAAATTTGAAAGCACATTGACACGACCGAGGATGAGGAAGGGGAGAAAGCAATTCACTATGATGATAATTTTAATAAAAACCCACTAAGTAACGAGAGTGCTAGGGATTTTTTATTTTACAAATTTTAATTTTGGTGGCTTTTTATAATATTACTTTGACATTAGATAGTAGGATAGGGAGAAAGAGATTTTTTTGTGTTAAACCAATTTTAAATTGTTATGTTATTAATTTTTACTTTGATATCTTATCTTTCTTTCATGTTTATATAATAGTTCTTACTTCATTATTTGATATTAGGATATTAATTTGTTGTTATTTTGCACAATTTACTACTAATTACTATGTTATGATGTTAATATGTTATGTCCTATTATGCTAATAGGATAGAAAGTTAATATGTTAGTACTTAGTTCTAATTTCATACTTTGATGTTATTACAATATTTTTTATTTTGCCCAATTTGTTGTTTCTGACGTTTATGCGACAAGGACCATGCCTTGCCTCACCGATGAAAAGCACATTAATGGCCTATTGCACGATTTTATATTTTAAAGGTATAAAGACTTGTTTTACCTTGTCATCAATAGCAAGCTTCAGTGAAATTCTCCGGCTCTTCTGCTTCATCCTGTATAACTTCTTCCATAGCACAACAATCCCAACAACGGCAGCAGCTATAGATACTGACCAAACAGGTCTCATACCAACAAGGAAATACTTCAGCAAACCCAGAGGCACCTTCCACCAGATCTTTTCCCTCTTCTCGCCCTCCGTAACACCCGCATCACCACCAATTTCTGTCAAATCCGGTGAATCAGAATTATCTCTCCCTTCATTTTCCTCTCCTAAATTATCACACGCAGGATCACTCTCTTCAGATCCCATTTGCATAATAGAATGCTCCAAGTTTCCAAGTTCCACTTCATCGATGTTAGCCAACGATCTTTTCCCATCCGATGATTCATCAGACAAAAAACCACTAGAATTCCGCATCGGGGACGTCATTCCAACGATACCCAACTGCTCTCTTGAAGTTTCCAGAAACGTATTAGAGTCAGAATCGGGCTCGACACTACTAGGGTTATCAGAATCGATGCCGCCCTCGTCTCTTTCTTCCTCTGATTGAGGTAGCTGGCTACTACCCAAGTCGAAGGCGAAGTAGTCGTCCTTGATGGCGCCGCTCGGCGTGTCCTCGGCGAGAACAGCGACGGCCATGTGGTTATCAGTGAGGTCGGAGCCATGTACCAGCTCCCAATCATGTAGGTCGGCGCCGTCTTCCATGGTCGTGGAAGCCGTTCAGAGCTCGCAGGCGATCGGAGTAGCAGAAGAGGTTGGGAGAAGAACACGCAGGCGTTCGCTTTCCATATTAGGTTTTTTTTTTATTTGATAGATCTGCTAGCGGTTGAAGTAAATTTTATTTGATCCGGTAACCTGCGTAACTACATTCGTTGGGTAGTAAACAGTCACGTGTTATCATTATTTATCGCGTGATCTAATAATCCAACCCGGGAGTTTGCGTATTGCTCGGTATTGGTCGATTTTGCTCGGCAAAAATGAAAAATATCATTCTGTGAAGACCAATACCGAGCAATACCGAGTTCTTTTAGGTATTACTCGGTATTGATATTCACAGAGCAGTATTTCTCGTTATTGCCAAGCAATACCTAGCAATACATAGCAATACCGAGTAATACGCGAACATAGTAATCCCGGATTCCGGTGCGAGACGAGTCGTCGGGCTGCGCGGTAAAGAGTAAGAGCACGTCGCCACATATTATTGGCTACCGGATGTAGAGTTACATCAGGTCACCTGACCTAATAATTTTTCCAGTTGAAGGGTTCGCGAGATCTGTCCCTGTGCGGTTTGGTGGACTGGTGGGCCAGATGTGACAGAGATATTTCATCTAACATCACTGAAGCTTCTACGATCTACTCATATGGTACATTATGATCTTTCAAATTCATTTGGAACTTATATAGTTCTCTTTCCCAATAGATTACAATGATTATTATTATTATTATTATTATTATTATTATTATTATTCTCCTCATATAAAATTTTAATCTTTTATTTCATTTAATTGAATTATTTCAATTACAATTATACATCTATCTAGTATTGTTGAGCATTGGAACATTTGCATTATTAAAGAGATACAAAGAGTTTAATTTCTTAATTTATTACGAATAATTAGCACATTCATAAATAAAAGATAAGTGCAAGGATTGAAAAAGACGAGATTTTTTTTACATGAAAAACACTGGAAAGAAAAAAAAAATCACGATGAATGTTCTTAGCACATCAAAGATTTAGAAATAAAGACACTTATAGTTTCCAGCAGGGTTTTAAAAATTAGATCTAATCGGTTAGTTCGAATTGTTCAACTGTGAACCGATCTAAAGATCGATCCATATCAGCCTAAAAACTTGTTTTGTATCAAACCTTGATGAACCGACTGGAACTGTCAATTCAACTGACAAATTGGTGAACCAAGTTGGTTCAAGGGAACTTGGTTGTGAGCAGCGCGACACTACGACATTTAGCTTTCTATTTGTAAGAAGTTTTGAGAGACCATTGTGGAATTGGGTGGCACCATCTTGGCGCTTAGGTCTCGAGTTTGATTAATCTGGAAGCCTTTGGAATATTCTATAGGATCACGACGGCCCTGGAAATATGGGCTCTGTATCAAAACCATTTTGAACACCCATTTCCCCAACCACCATGCCATGGAAGAAGAGAGGATAAGGGGAGGAAAATGAAGGACAGAGAAAGAGGGGAGGGGATTTTAGAGGCCATAGCTTGGGCATGTTATGGATTTTGCAAAGCTTGATATAGACTTCTAAATTCCCATTTTTGAATTCAATTCCAGATTGTAAAAATATATAATTAAAAATATGTTTTCTCAAAATTTATGACATTTTCATCGTGTAACATTTTGTATGATGTCGTATGCTTTATTCTAAATATTTTAACTTTATGATAATTTTTTTTGTGTACTACGCAAACATGGCTTTTATAGTTTACTCAAAGCTTAATAAAAGGTTTAAAATGTTGTTCTTAAGATTTCTTTGAAATTGTTTGTGGATTGAAAAATATATAGGGGATAAGCTTTTGTACATGCTATATGTAATATTATAGACAATTTTGGTATGTACTTCATGCATCATTCAAATAATACATTAAAGTCATAATTAATTATGGTTGCATTTGAACTATATAATTCATGGCATGACATTGGAGAAGCTCTTGTTCTAAAAAGTGAAAAATGCACTCATTGAAATGATATAAGGGCATGATATATTCATTATTGATCCATCTACCTTGTGTAGATGTTGGAGAGATTTTGGCCTCACTTGTTGAAAGCATGTGTGGGAGGTTATTCTATTATGATTCTAATCCCACTTATTATATGCAGGCGTGGTAGGTTAAATGGAGTTACAAGTGAAAATTAAATAATATGCAAATATCGGGAGATGTTTATTATAATCATGTATTGCATATTTTGATAATTTAATAAATAAGTATAAATAATACTTTGAGTTGGATATGAGAGTTGTTGAACCTCCATATGAATTATGACAAAATTGAAAATGCAAATGTAATTAACACTCTGATGATAAGTGTTGTGTGACATATCTAGTAATTATGTGATAGTGAATTGTGAGAATGTAAGTAGTAATTCTAAACCAAGTACATTTTGTTAACCCTAAGAAACCATGCTCTACTAATACTTTAGCCATTCTTTGTTAATTATTAAGTTTTTAATTAAATTACTATTCAATATTTTGATTGGATATTAACATATGTGATGGGTTGCTGAGAGAAGTCAATGAGTTGTTTGTGCTCATTCTATAAGGCTTTTTGATATTTTGAGAAAAAGAAAGGGCCCAACAAAGTAGAAAAGGGTAAAGATAGGACCCCTTGGAGCAGGATATTCAAGGTATCATTTAGTAATTTGATTTTAATTATTGAGTATAAAACACTCTTGAGTTGGATTATATATATATAATCAGATGAAATGTCATGGAATGAATTTTATTATCTTGGAATTGTATAGTAGCTCTGGTTGATTTTGTTGATTTTATTGATAATTTTATTATCAAGTCAATTATTATATTTTGCTCCTGTATTGGCCACATACTCATCTCAAAGTGTGAAGAAATAGCCCATTGTATCAAGGTAATCCATAAAGGATGATTGCCTTGTTCTAGCTCCATTCTCGAAAAAATTCTTTGGCTATGATGACATCTTCTATAACTATAAATTTCACTAATCAACCAATGCCACTTCTCTATGAAAACATCTCGACCATGGTCATAACAAATAATCTTATCTTCCATGCTTACATAAAAGACATCAATATATACTATCAATTTATTCTCCAACAAATTCACTCCAATACAATTTAAATTCTTCACAATAACTCCCATGATCAGCCAACATACATCCTTACTAATTCACTTCCAGTCACTTCACCCATCTTCGAGACGAGCTTATAATTTATCCTGACATCATAAACTTGAGGGGGGTAATGTCATACCCCAATATCTAATTTGGAATAATAATCTCTTTTAAATCATTTAATTTGCTAACATAGTCATTAATAGACATCCATATATAAATAACAAACACAATAGAAACAATCTTTTATTTCATTTATCATAAAAAATATACATTTACATTTCAATCTCAAAATAATCATATACACTAGCCATGAATATATCATTTGATTATTCTATCAACATCACTGAAGCTTCTACGATCTACTCATATGGTACATTATGATCTTTCAAATCCATTTGAAACTAATATAGTTCTCTTTCCCAATAGATTACAATTCAATCATATATATTCATTTAATTATGAATGTTTAAAAAATGCACATTGCAACTGCCCAATTTCTACCATTCTCAACCAATTCATATGGCTAAGATTACAATTCAATTTTTTTTTCAAACCATTGCCCTAATATATACCACTCTATCATGTCCGAAAATCTAATTTGAAAGAATTGCCTCTTTTAAATTTTCTAAATTATTACCAGAGTTTCTAATAAACATTCATAAATAAATAATAAATATAGTGAAAGCAATCTTTCATTTTATTTATCATCAAAATATATACATTTACATTTTAATCCCAAAAGATCATGTACAGTACACATGAATACATCATTCAAATCATTATATCTTAATTATTTACGAATACAAAATAAATAAATAGAAAATATAAAAGAAAATACCCAAAATTAACAGTCCTGATTAGCCATTTCACTGGATCCTTACATTTTCCTGAAATCATGAAAAACACATGATAAGCTAAAGCACAATAGGTTACTAATATCTTTCACTGCACCCAATGCGAGAAAAATAGATTAATATGTATGTAATCATTCAAATAATCAGAACATATTAAAATAAGCCGTAATAATTTATGTGAGCAATATCAATCATTATGAAAATATATCATGTTATATATCAGTAAACAGTGACTCAATCTAATCCCAACATATCATGGAAAGTGCTACATGAAGAGTATTATATGAATCAATGCAATTATATTTGGGTTTTATCAATTATAAGTATAGGTTAACATCATAAATGTTTTAACATGTTCATTTTCTTATGTATGCATTATCATGTATGCCTATAGTATTATATTCATTTTAATACAAATCAGGATATATGATTAGTCATATAATATTTTCTTGTATCTTGTCATATCTTATTATATGATAATCATGCCTCATTATGTTAGATGGCGTATTATAAGAGTTTTCACTCCTACTCATTTGCGTATCTTGTCCGCTTATAACTCCAATCTTGTATCTTATATATTGTATTAAGATCACATCAGATGAATGCATGTCCGCCCACCCTTCTATATATGGTATGTTGCTCTGACAAATTTGAACCAGTCAGTAACTAAACAACCTTTCTTGCAATTATACACAATTATTATATCTTATCAATCATCATAACGTGCAATATTTATCATATATGCATTTAACATGTAGATCGCTTTAACATTATGATACCACTATACATTTCTTATCAACGAACTTTACTAGTTGCATGTCATGCTAGACTTAATGAAATAGATACAAAAGTAATAATTTATTTAAATGTGTGCAATTATACTTATCAATTCAATTAAAAAAAATAATTTTTCTAATCGAGCGCTGCAATGCTGATCTTGTTCACTTTAAAACCTAGAGGTTAGTGTCACAATGCCTAACTCAAACACAGCTACGCTCAATCACCCAAAACTCGAAGTATATTGAGAGGACAGCGCTGCTGAGATCGGGCGCGCGCACAAGAACAATTATTACGTCCTCTGACCGGACGTAGAGCTATGTTCGGCCGCCAATAACATGTCGCCACGTGCTCTT